TCACTGCGTGTTTCGGTAGATTTACTGTAGACAGTAAAACTAAGTCTCCTTCATCAAATGAAAGAACATTTGCTCTTCCATGTTTGTCTGCGTTTCTTTTCTGCTTTTAGATTGCTTCTGCTATAGAATCTTGAACGAAGTGGATAACCGCTTCGCGAGTCAGCAGAAATTCCTCTACTGATTTATCCTTGTCAACAGCAATGCGCTTCGTGTGCAATGCTGAATGGACGTTGTCTTCACTAGTGAGGGCGTCATCGTCCTCACTGAGGCAGTCGTTGGCGATGCTGAATAAAACAGCATCGTCTTCACCATCATCATCGATGTCGATCGCATCGACATCGGCATCCATCACGTCGACACCATTGTCGACGGGTGATGAGCAAGAACCAGATCGGTTTTTGTTCGAGCGAGTCCACCCGCCCTTCAAATAGAGTCACACTCTAAGAAGGCGGGCAAACGTGGATGGCGTAGGCCATTCACGAAGAACGGTGTATGCGTTGTAGACGCATGCACCCAGTTGTTGATGGCAAATTCCGCCATTGGCAAGAACCCACTCCAGCTCGTAAACGAGTGGACATACCCTCGAAGTATCTCTTCGAGGACGCGGTTGACGCGTTCCGTCTGACCGTCTGTTTCGGGATGGTCAGAAATTGACATCTTCAAACGTGTTCCAAGTGAACGGAACACGGATTGCCAGAACTCCGCTGTGAAGCGGGGGTCCCTATCGGACACGAGTTCACTGGGTAACCCATGGGGTCGGAAGATAGTATCGATGAAGACACGCGCACAGCCCCTGGGCTGTGATTGACTCCGGTACAGCAACAAGGTGTACCATCTTGCTGAACCGATCAACAATCCCAAGAATACCAGCATTCATGTGAACGTCTTTGGGGAATCAAAAGACGAATTCCATCGATACGGAGTGCCAATACTCTGCCGGAATTGGTAGAGGCTGCAAGGGTGAGCGGGATGAAGTACTAGGCTTCACCCGTTGACAAACTTCGCATGCGCGAATGTATTTGCGCACAAACTCATACTGGCAGGGCCAGTAGAAGTCACGACTCACCGTGAGGGGTTTCTTTTCCCTACCGCGATGCCCACTTGTTGGGACATCGTGACACTCATAGATGATGCGCAATCGCAAATCATTATGAGCGGGAACGACGACACGAGGTGTGTCGCCGTTGACTGCTGTGTAGTACAGCAGTCCAACACGAACCGAATACCGTTCGGTTGAAGAGCGTTATTGAGACGACAAGCTTTTCAAAGCTTGATTACACGGATTGGATACGTAATCCATCAACCGCAGAAGAGACTCGTCTTCTGTGTATGCTTTTCGCACGTCATCGAGCAGATTCGACGACGGAACACTCACTGTTAGTGTCGCGACAGTGGGATCACACCTACTATTGGGTTGAGCAGTCGGCTCGAAATCGGGCCGACGCGAAAGAGCATCAGCGACGATATTAAGTCGTCCTAATTTATTCTCGACGGAGAAGTTGTACTCCACGAAGAAAGCCCGCCACCTCGCCATTCGTTGCGAGAGGTGTGGACTGTTTACGGCCGTGCGTAACGACGCATGGTCGGTATAAACGATGAAGGGCCTATCTCCTAAGATACATACCCAAAACTTGGCCGGTGCATATTTCATGGCAAGGAGTTCCTTGTCATGAACCGGATAATTTCGCTCAGCTGCTTGCAGCTGACGCGATTGATAACAGACGACGCGCTCAACGCCGTCTGAGTCGAACTGCATTAACGCGCAGCCGATTGCAAAATCGCTGGCGTCACGGACCACATGAAATGGACTATCCTGGTCTGCAATCGCCAACACAGGCGATTGCACCAAGCTTTTCTTGATGCCTTCAAAGAGTGCTGACACTCAGCGCTCCATGACAACCTCTCGTTTTCTTTAGTAAACGAGAGAGATGTGCGTTCATCTCGGCATAGTTGCGCGAGTATTTGTGCAAATACGCTGCCAAGCCATGGAGCTTTCGAAGTCCCTTGACGTCGACTGGCACAGGCCAGTCGCTAATTGCCTTGATCTTTTCTGAATCAAGGCGTACACCGTTTTACCCACGATGCAGCCAAGAAGTGGTATTTCGTTCGCTGCGAATATACACTTCTTGAGGTTCGAGAACAACCTATGCTCTCGCATTAGTGTAAGAACTTTCCGGAAGTGGATTCTATGAACCTCCACGTCCGTCTTTCCATCCATAACCCGGCTATGGACGAAGCCATCGTCGAAGTGACTCGGTGCGAAATCGCGCAACGATCGCAACAGATTCGTAACACATCTGCTAAATGTTGCGGGGGCGTTACTTAGCCCCTGTGGCATCACTAGCCACTCCCGTAGCATACCACTGGAAGTGCTCACTGCTGTGTATGGGATGTCCCATTCACGCATAAGAATTTGATAGAAGCCATCCATCAAATCCATGGACGAAAAGATGGTACTCTTTGACATACCATCAATGATTACGTCCTTCCTCGGTATCGGAGTTTGAGCCGGTACCGTTGCAGCGTTCAGTTTGTTGAACGCGTGCACTATCCGCCACCCTCCTGTGTCTTTCGCACACAGAAGGTCGGAGAGCTGTGTGGGGATGTTGATTCCCAGACATGACCAGCCGCTAAACGATCGGCAAAGAACTTGTCGATCGCTGTTACCTGTTCACGAGGCAGTGACCACTGCTTCATGACACAGTATTTTGAACCAGGTTTCAGTTCGATCTCATGCCGAGTGCCTTTGTCTTTGGGCAGCTCGCATGGCACGGATTCCGGGAAAAGATCCCTGAATTCCACCAAATCCTTATACAAAAGGATTTGTCTTTAGAGACTCCCAAGATTGAGACGTATAACGCTCAATCCGTGTCTTCTCATCGAGGACACTAGCGTCCATAGATGAACTACTGAGAACCCAGTCGTTCTCAGCAAACACTTGTGCCGACCGAATATCGGCGACGTACTCGTCCTCTGTGACTAGTACGCAGATCTGCTTGATCTTGTCACTACGCAGATCTCGCGATAATCTTTCAGATTCTAGCGATGGCAACTTGACTACCTCCGAAGCTGACTTCGGAGGTGTAACCAGATCAAGTGTATAAGCGCCTACATTTGATCCGTCATTCACCGAGACATTAACTGACTCGGTGATTTTCTGGGAAAACGCAGGTGGTTGGGGATCCGCACCCTCAACATAACTCTCCCGGGAGTTGTCACTCTCAGGAACGCTGGAAATTTTCTCCATTACGTGTGCTGACTGTGGGTGTGCTGACACAGTCACGTCCTCTTCGATCGGCTCTCTTTCAGTCGATAGGGTTTGCTTTTCGATCGACTCTCTGTTAGTCGATATCGCTTCAACGTGTTGTTCATCCTGAACAACACTAATCTCTCTTCCTTGATGCATCCTTCTTGGTATGCATCCATGTTCCACTCCATTCAACCTTTTTTAGTGGTGAACTATCGGCGCAGCCTGTGCATCTGTACAGGTGCCGGAAGCTGGTCCCACAGTATACCGGCCTTCTACACTGTGATCTTGTGCAGTCGTACTAACGACCGTACCACAAATGAGGCCATCGCACTCACTCGTAGTACATCCACACGCTTGTGGACGCTTCAAGACGTTCATCAGATGGCCATCCGATGAACAAACGGCAGGCATTTTCACGGATCGATGCTTCCAGCTAACCCATGGCTGGTATTTTTAAGCCATTTCAGACCAAGGATGACATCAAATTTGTCGTCCAAATCCAGTCTGATGAAGTCATCATCGTACTGCTTTCCTTCTAGTGTGTAGTGGATTCCCACTACACGTTTGCTCACTGTTACGGATGCGCCCGTAGCAAGGCACACCGTTATCCTCGTTGGAGGGCACTCTAGCTCAATATAGTTGAGTCTACTATCCTCTAGCGACTGGCGTCAAATAAAACTGTTCGACGCCCCATAGTCAACTCGGGCGCGAATTGACATTCCACTTGTCACTTCGATCTTCAAAGTGATGAGGGACATCTCATCACTAGGGACAGTAAAGCACAGCGACTGTGTGTTGTGAGCAATCTTTGTCAAGAGTCCTGCATATTCTCTTGACGTTGCTGGATCAGCAGGGTGCTCCGCCCCTACTGACCCTGACCGTTTTTGGCGGTCCGATTTGCTATCGCGGCTTAGCGACATGGTCGGACCCACGCCTCGGACCTTTCCTTGGCCAACGGCGGTCACCACGGCTTGTCTTTGGACGTGTTGCGGTGCTTAGGACACTACACTCATGACCGTAGTGTCCGATATTCTGACAGCGATAGCGTCTTGCCGTTCGCTTGTGACTCAGAGAGCGAGAGTTCCCGCTCTCGATGTAACAGAGGTCCACTGGTTTGGGACCTCCTGTTTCCTGTTGTCTCGTCGGGCGATAGTTTGACGAGTTAGCCTGAGACTGTCTCAGGCTGAAGACTTCTTGTTCCGCATACGCTATCGCTTTTCCAGCGTATGGAAGTCCTCTCGGAATATGTAGGTCATAATCGGTCCATCTGAAAGGCCGTCGATGAACACGTTGATAAGCTTGTGATCATCAACATTTTTTTCCGTGATGTTATTCGCAAGTTAGCGTAAGTGTTGTGCATAAGCGTGCACATCCCGCTGGTCTTGCTTGAGCCTTAGGAGTGCAGAGCGTGATCTGATCTCGGATCTTGGCGGATCAAATGTTTCTTTGAGCCAAGACTCCACGATCTCTAGCGACTCAAACACGTTTAGGTCGTGAAGCTTGAGACCTAAGGTCCAAGTCTTTGCTCGTCCCGTCATACTTGACAGGGCGAAGGTGACTTGCATCTCGTCACCCTCGATGTGACGAGCCCTGAAAACGTCGCCTAACTCGACGAATCATCTCAAAAGGGAATCTTCATCGATTGCCTTGTACCTTGAGATATCTATCTACAAGGTTTCGGGTCGACGCCTGTGCGTCGCCCGCCCATCGACTGATAAAAGCCTTGCTAGTAAAGCAAGGCTATCTTCTGTCATTTGACGACAAGTTCCCCTTGTAAGGACTTGTTGATAGCAGCATGTTGCTGGTCTCTGCTTAGAGACTCCAGCATTCCACTTATGGTGGGTTCGCCCATGAGCACACTAATGTGGCCGACTATCTCCCATTCCGAGTCACTCAGATGGGGGTAGCATTCACGTGCGACGTGGAAGCTGTCGTCTTCTGCGTCAAACAGATTCATGTTGGACGGACACTAAGTAGTCGTTGGACGGACTACAAAGTGCTACCAGGTGTAACGGGGCATCCTTTGTTTGGGGTGCCACGAAACACCTGGTTGCACTTTGTAGTCACTTCACGTACACTAGTACGTGCAGAGGGAGGAAGCTTAATTACTCAAACGACTCGTAAAAGTAAAAGGTAAAGAGATAACTGTATTTAATATTGTTTAGCTATCAATATAACTTTTATCTTTATCTGACTATATTAAACTACGCCGTCGTATGACGACAACCGGCTCACCACTCATTGCGCGCGTCTAGCAGCGATTGGTGGCAATCTGTGGTTGATATGCCTTGTATCAACCAATCTTGGAGCAGCGAATGAACATTTAAATCTCGGATAGTATCGGTAGAATATTGTCATGCTGAACAATATTCCTATTGACACCGTTTGGTGTCAATTTCATGTAACGGGCTACCCCGTTACAGGAATCGTTCCCGTTCGGAAGTCATGCCGGCCAACTGGTCCAACTCTCTGAATGATGCCATCCACGGAAACTCCACTTGAGGAGCGTGGCGCAGGACATTTTGGTCCCTTGCCCCTTAATTGGTGTCAGCATGAGCACTGACATCAGTGGCACCTCGATCCCTCGAGTGGCTTCGCTCGTGGTGATGCTCAGAGACATCACCACCATCCCCACGCGCCCTATCGTTGGATGGACCCGCGTGAGGCGAGGATTCGTCGAAACAATCGCTCGATCCGAAGATCTCGGACATGATGCCGCCACTTTGACCAGATCCAGTCAACCTGGCTCTTGCAGTGTCCTTTCCGGGGGATCCGGAGGCGTGAGGTGTCGGATACATTATCCGACTCGCCAGAATAGATGAGATCTTTTCAGACTCATCCGGATTACGATCCGCGGTACCCGCTGCAGACGCAGCCGATGTAGCTGTCGCACGTGGTAACTCACCACGTGGATTGTTCACAGCAGCAGGCGACGAATCACCTGCTGCTGAGGTGTGAGAAGTTCAATTCCGGCTGGTCGCATGCGTCCAGCCACCTTTCTTGCTGCTGCAATAGCAGCTCGCGTGGTTTTGGAAATCATGCGTTAGATTGTCAAATGAGTGGAATTTGACCAACTAGTGCTCCCTTTTCCAAGAGTGATCAAGCTGTGGTGACCCTGTCCCGATCAGCTAAATTCAATCAACGGGTGATTGATGGTTAAGAGGGGTGATGTAACGGGGTAGCCCGTTGCATGATTGTGACACTAAACGGTGTCCGTAGGGAAATTATCTAGCATGACAATATTCTACCGATATTATCCGAGATGAAATAACATTGAAGGAACATTCTTCCCTTTGTAGGATGATGGTCATGCGCTGCTCAAAGATTGGTTGATAAACAACATATCAACCTTAGATTACTACCAATCACTGCTAGGCGCGCGCAATGGGCGGTGAGCAGGTTGTCGTCATACGACGACGTAGTCTAATATAGTTATATAAAGATTAAAGTAATGCCGATAGGTTAACTATATTAGATACAGTTCTCTTTTTACCCTTTTACTCAGCTTAGTCGTTGAGTCTATTAGCTTCCTCTGCACGTACTAGTGTACGTGAAGTTTCGTGGCACCCAATCAAAGGGTGATCCGTTACAGAAAGCCTGGACGCGATCGAAAGGGACAGTAATAAGATAAACAAAGCAGCGAGGCCTAAGAAGTTATATAAATGACCCGGAGAAGGAAAGGGAGAGTTGTAATGGGGTGAATCGTTACATATCAATTTATAAGTAATTGTTAATAGAATATTACTATAAGAGTTATATTCTCAGAATATTGTCATAAGGACAAATATTCTGCAGCACTTACGAGTAGTTCCTATTTGGTTGATACAGGCCATTATATCAACCAACGAAGACGCGCCACGACAGACGCACGCAATGAGTGGTGAGCAGATAGTTGATATGCACATTTGTATTCAGACATAGTTAGATGAGGATAAATAGTGATTTATTAACAGACATTAACTTTGATAAATGCAGTTCTACTTTTTACTTAATCTAAGTACTCGCTTCTTCCTACCGTCTCCCTGCACGTACGAGTGTACGTGAAGTTCCGAGGCATCGCCTCATTCTGTCATCAGAATAAGTAGCTTGTACTGTAACCAGTACAAGCTTCAGGGTGCCCCGATACACCTGGTAGCACTTCGTAGTCCGTCCAAGGACCACGTTCACATCTAACATGAATATGTTGGATGATGAAGATGACCAAAGCTTTCACGCTACGCGTGACGGCTACTCCCATTTGAGCGATGTCGAATGGGATGCGGTTGAACGGATGGGTTCAACCATGGGCATCCATGATTTTAGCGTCATGCTAGAGGCTCTCAATAGAGATGCCCAACATGCTACTATCGCCAAGTTCATTCAAAATGAACTTGACGCTGAACGCGAGAAAGTAGCCTTGCTTCACCAACAAGGTTCTCAACAATCAGAGTCGTTGATAGAACAGGGTGCTCAACAGTTTGAACTGTTGAGACAGCAGCAGGCTGCTGCTGGTGGGTCGATGCACTCGCGTCGACCCGAAACCTTGAAGATTGACATCTCCAAGTATAGGGAAGTCGAAGAGAACTCCCTCTTGAGATGGTTCGTCGAACTGGATGACGCCATAATGGCGCGTCGCATCGACGACGGGGAAATGCAAGTTGCATTTGCCCAATCAAATTTGGCAGGACGTGCCAAGACTTGGGCTTTGGGACTCAAGTTGCACGACCCATATGCGTTTGGGTCGTTAGAAGTCTTCAAGTCGCGGCTCAGACAAACGTTTGAACTGCCTAGAGCTGAGTTCAGAGCTCGAACCGAACTCTTGAAGCTCAAGCAGGGTAAGCGTGATGTGTACGCTTACGCGCAACATATACGACATCTCACGAGTTGTATAAGTTCCAATCCGGTTGATGAACACACGTTGGTTTCGGTGTTCATGCAGGGTCTTGCGGATGGTCCCGTCAAGACTCACCTTTTCCGACTTGAACTAGATTCACTAGAACAAGCCATTTCCATTGCGGAACAGGAAGACTTCAGTCTGAGACAGGCTCGCGCCAGCTCGACATCATATCGTCAACCGAGACGATATGACAGCGGAGGTCCAGAGCCGATGGAACTCTGTTCTGTAGAGAGCGAGAAGGCTCGATCTACAGACTACAAGAATGTGCAGAAATGCAACAGACGTCAAAAGGCAGGACACTACGCTTACGAGTGTAGTGCCCCTCGTCCAGTGTCTCGCAACACTGGGTGTGGTGAACGTCCACCCATGAGAAAGGGGCAGGGACGCGGGTCCGCTGTTGGTGCAAAGACGCAACAACGGGATGGACCGTCAAAAAACGGACAGGATCAGTAGGTGCGGAGCACCCTACTGGTCCAGCAACGTCAAGAGAATTCGTGGGCCTCTTGATGAAGGTTGCTCCCAACACACAAACGTTGTGCGTTGCTGCTCTAGATAATGATATCTCACTCGTTACCTTGAAGCTCGAAGTGACAAATAAGTTGTCCCTTCGAGCTCTAGTCGATTGTGGGGCGTCCAACAATTTTGTGCAACGCCAATCGCTAGAAGATGGTCATTTTAAGTTTGATGAATGTGACACAACTCCTATGAGGATGACGGTACGTCTTGCGACAGGCGCATCCGTAACCGTCATGAAGCGTATAGTGAAGATTCACTATAAGCTAGAAAATAGCCAATATGACGATGACTTTATCGTATTGGATTTGGATGAAAAATTTGATGTCATCCTTGGAATACCGTGGCTCAGAAGGTACGAACCACGGGTTAGCTGGCAACATCGAACGGTAACGATGCCTGACGCTTGTTCACCAGATGGACATCCGATGAACGTTTTGGAGCGTCCACAAGCGTGTGGATGTACTACGAGTGAGTGCGACGGCCTCACTTGTGGTACGGTCGTTAGCACGACTGCACAGAACCTTAGTGTCACAAACGGTTACACTTCGGAGCCAGCTTCCGGCACCTGTACAGATGCACAGGCTGCGCCGATAGTTCACCACTCGAATAAGTCGAGTAGACCGGTACAGAGATGTATCCCCAGCGGGGAACATCTAGAAGAGAAATAATCCATCGCTCAGGTTAAGCGAAACGATAATCCTAGATCGACTGAAGAGTCTTTCGTAGAGGATCTCGCTGTGGTTGCGCAACCCCAGCTAGAGGAAGTTAAGGGAATAAGTCCCGATATTACAAATACGGCGGAAATAAGTTCCCCGAAACCCGCGGGAATAAGTCCACGGGAAGCCGAAGGAATAAGTCCATCGAGACCTGAGGGAATAAGTTCCCAGGAAATGACAGATACATTGAATGTCATAGTCAATAACGGATCAAGTGTAGGCGCTTATACACTTGATCTGATTGCGCCTCCGAAGTTGACTTCGGAGATCACTCAGTTGCCAACGCTCGAACATAAAAGGTTCTTGCGTAATCTGCGTAGTGGCAAAGTCTAGCAGATCTGCGTACTCGTCGCTGACGACGAGTGCGTAGCCGACATAAGGTCAGCAACAGTGTTCACTGAGAACGAGAGAGTTCTCAGTAGTTCATCTATGGACGAGAGTGTCCTAGATGAAAGGACACGAGTTGAGCGATATGACTCCCAATCGTGGGAGTCGCTCAAGACAAATCCTCTCTATGAAGATTTGGTTGAATTCAAGGATGTATTCCCTGAAACTGCTCCGTGCGAATTACCGAAGTATCAAGGTATTCGACACGAGGTCGAGCTTAAACCAGGCTCGGAGTACTGTGTCATGAAGCAGTGGCCACTGCCTCGTGAACAAGTACTTGCGATCGACAAGTTCTTTGCCGATCGTTCGGCAGCGGGCCATGTGAGGGAATCAACTTCCCCACATAGCTCTCCGACCTTCTGTGTGCGAAAAGCAACAGGAGGGTGGCGGATAGTGCATGCATTTAACAAGTTGAATGCTGCAACGGTACCGGCTCAGACGCCGATACCAAGGAAGGACGTA